GTAATCAAGTCACTCATCATAAGTATAGATAGGAAGAACTGCCGGTGCTGGAGTCAGAGATAACAGAGTGTGGAGCTGGAGGAACACAGCGGGCCAGGCAGCATCAGAGGAGCAGGAAAGTTGACGTTTCAGTGCTCCTCCAGCTCCACACTGTGTTAACTCATCATACATGGTTGTCTCTGCAATTTTGGCAGATAAAGCTTGCTCAGGAAATGCATTATTAAGAAATATTTTCACTCAGACTTCCAGAGGAATAATTAGATTCCGCCCTGATTTCAGAGCAAAGGTGCTTCAGAAACTGAAGACCCAAGTTGAGCAGCTTGATCTGTCGCTGACTTTCCCTAACTGAAAAATCCAAACACAAACTCCATGCCCGTAAGTATTGTTCATTCATTATAGCCATAAAACCCAAGCATAAAACAATCAAGTGTTCCCATGTACAACAAGTCCAGGAATTAACTGCAAAATTGTGGTTTTGAAGAAAATTGGCTGACGTGGAGAGGATGTTTCCTCTTATGGAAGAATCTAGAACTAGGGGTCATTGTTTAAAACCTAGGCGCTGCACATTTAAAACAGATGAGCAAATTGTTTTCTCTAAGTGTTGTAAATCTTTAGAACTCTCTTCTTAAAAGGGTCATGGAAGCAGAGTCTCTGAATATTTTTAAGGTAAGAGGATAAACTCTTGGTAAGTAATGAGGTGTAAGGTTATCAGAGGTAGACCAGATGCAAATTTGAGATTGCAATCAGTTCAGCCATGATAGTATTAAATGGGGCAGCAGTCTCAAGGGGCTGAATGGCCTAGTCCTGCTCCTTGTTCATATGTTTGTAATTGCCTCATTTTTAAGAGTAAATTCCAATGTCTTTCATTGACCTTTCGAAAAGCAATCCTGGCATCCCTGCAATTTTTCAAACTCTACTGCACAAAAATTATTAAATATGAAGTGTCTCCTAAACAAATTAACTACAAATAAGTAAACTAGACTCAAGGAGAGTCTGCAGTCAGAAACGGTGCCAGCCTGTTTTCAAAGGCTGAAATATGCAGTTTTTGGAATCAAGTTATCTTGCAGTGTTTCAGATCAAAGAAGGTTTTAACATTGGCACTTGAGATCTGTTTTGAATTAATTTAGAATGGTTTTGAAATTGATAGATAGAAGATTTATCTACTTTCTCAAAGATCCTCTAACCTAATACCCTACCGCTTTTGAGGTATAGAAACACACCGAGACTTCAAAATCATACTTAGCTTTGTAGAGAATGGTAAAAATGTTAGATTGAGCCTTCAGCGCTCTAAATTAAATAATGTTTGTGGCTGAACTCTCCTAAATTAGAGAAAGAATAAAAGTTGCTTATGGTAGCAAATACCTGATTCAATAACATTAAAATATTCAGTGACTAATTCCTTGCGTCCAGGTAAGAATTGATGGAGTGACTGCCTGCTTTTCCCACACCTTATTTGACCACAACAATTTTGTTTAAATGAAGAGTATGCTACTTTATTCAGTGAGTGTTTAACTCTTCAAGTGCTGTGCTGGAAAGAGTGCACAAAAATATATTTTCAAACAGAAGAGTCATTTATTGTGCTTAACACCAGATTTAAATGAATCTAATAAAACAGCACTGACTCTCACACATATATTAAAGGGTTCACACACTCTCTTTCACACACACACACAAAAGTTTCAAAGTGGAGGATAAATTAAGCTTTTTTTTAAATGTCAAAAGCATCAGTTATATATGGGTTTGGTAAATTGATGCCTTGATTGGTTTAAGATTAGTCTGAAGTGTCTTTTTGGGTTTTGTGTTAGATGATTTACGGATGTTGATGGATGATTTCTAGCTTTTTATCTTCTGGAGCGAGCAGCTGAATTTGATTCTTAAACACTGCCTGAGGTGCCAGAACAGCTAAACAACAGGGAAGGTTCGAACTTCCAGGATTGATTGCAAGAGAGCGAACGATGACTCTGGGACCTTCCATTTTAGCGTCTCTTCTTTTCTGATCTGATGAAAAGCAGCTTCTTAAACGTGAGAGGGTGAGTGGGCTTTGTCATGTGATTTCCTCTCATCAACCACTAATTATTCAAACATGGTCATAACAGGTTGATTCCAGGTCTGTGGTTTAGTTGTGCTTAGGTTAGAGTTGGAAGAGTTCCCTCCTTAGCCAGGGTTCATTGCCCAAAGCAATTGCATCTAATGACTTGTTCCACAGCCCAGTTGAATAAACAGGTACTGTTTTGATGTTTTGTGAATGGGTCAGGAGATGTGACCACTTGGATTCCTTTAAAGTGATTATCTCTGATAGGTTCTTCTAGACAGCTTGCCTCTGTTATTAGTGACTTTGGAATTTTTAGGATAGAATGATGCAAATATACAACTGTCTTGGAAGCTGGTGGTTAAGCCATTTCTAAAGAATTGTTGACAACAAGGT